GCTGATGGGTTCCTCGCCTAAAGGCTAAACCCTGTGAAAAAAAAAGAGAGAGGAAACATGAAACAGTTTAATCCAGAGCCAAGTTTTGTAAAAGGGACAGTGTTTCAAACAATAATAAGTTAGACTCACTGAGACAGCATCCTTGTGACCTTTGAATGTATGAACATGCTGAAGTGAATCAGGATCCCAGATGTGAATTATTTTATCTCGACCTCCACTAGCCTGGGAGAAATAAAGTACAAAAACAGTAGTTTGGCCATGAGAATTTCCATACCACCTGTACACCTGTAAGTTCAACAGCCAAAATAGAGCTGTTTTCGTGCTTTGAGCAACACAGACCTTCCTGTACCTCTTTGGTCATTCTTCCCATTATCAATTTTTTTTAGCAGTTTTATTTTATCTGAGTTGATTTTAGATGTTGCCAAAAGCAGCTTAGAGTATTACTCTGTCAAACCATAAATAAGAAGCTTTGGGGCCTATATTTCAATGAACTGCTTTTATCATCAAAAATGAAATAACAAAAACAGTTGACCTTTAAGTTTACAATGTCATTATTTTACACCCAGATGGTTTCCCTCACCAGAAACTTTCCATCAGAAGTAACAGCAAGACAGAGAACATGTCCTTTATGGCCTTTGCTTCCTTCACTGGCCTTGTGACAACCTAGGATCTTACCCTCCTTCAGGCCTGTTTCAATATTCCCTGTGAACAAATGAACCGTCTCAGAAACATCTTTTAATTTTCATTTCCATAACCATAGTAGGGGAAATGAGCAAGGGAAGAATAGGGTGTGGAGTCCACAACAAGAGGATATATGAGGAGATTTCTAATCCAAGATAAAGGAGGAGGGAAAGCAAATTGTAAAAGAAAAGAAGAAATAAGAAAAAAAAAAGAAAAGCTATGCTATGTTAAGGGATAAAAGAAACTAAAACAGGTAACCAGTAGTGAAAGCAAAGAGAGAGAGAGGTCTTTGAGGCAGATTCCTAATCTGTTCATAAATAATAGTACCTGTGTGAAATTACTTTTTTGTTTTGTTTGGAGACAGAGTATGCACAGTGTATGTTGTGGAATTCAAACTATAAACCAAGTAGCTGTCTACACATGTCACTGTTTAATGCTGATAAAAAGAAGGTGAATGTGTACTTCAGGTAATAGGTCAGCTTAGTAAAAAGAACAAAAGGAGTAAATTTCTAAGAAACTGTGGTGCTGCATCAGTAGGAGAGTATATCAGGGTAATTTAGTATTATCAACTGAATTGATAACGTAAATTGGCCACTGTGAAGAGTTTTGAAGTTGACATTTCAAGCATTAACCCTTCATCAGAGCATTATCAACTCAATTGATAATACTAAATTACCCTGTTAAATCAAAAAAACATTTTCTTACATTTGATAATTGAGCAGTCTTTTGAAGCAGAAAAGACAAACTTGTCATCTGGTGACACACAGAGACAGGTGACTGATAACTGATGACCTTTAAGAACTCTGATACCAGCAGGGGAGGGTTGAGTGTACTAAGGAAAAAAAATACAAATTTACAAGCTACAGTTTCCATCCATGACAATCATTCTACAAAGACAAACACCCCATAAGCCATACTCTTTGCCTAATATCATTGTTTTTTCTGTACACTGCAATTGTTTACAGGTCAGTTCTGACTGTAAACCAGAGCAGTCCTGGATTCCTTTCAAGAAAAAACTCAAAACTGTTCTTTGCTAAACACACATTCAAACCACCCCAATCAATACAACATATCACATATTACAAGTTGAGTTAAATGTTTTGCAAATAGCCAGATAATTAACTTGTTGTCCTCTAAGGTTTGCTCCAGCAAATAAAAAATGAGTGAATTTTACAGTGGAAGGACTTGTCTAACAATTTTATACCTGTGAGGCCACTCTTTTCTGAAACTTGCCTGTTTGCTCAAGCTGCAAGAAAAATCAAAGAATTACAGTTGGAGGGTGAAATTTTCAGCTGTCAAAACTATACCTTTATCTAGTAATATGTCTGAAAACAGTTCTGAATCATGAAAGGTGCCCAATCTATTATAACTGAAAAAGAGATATTCAAGTATTATACATACAACATCCTGTTTCAGTCTGTGAGCTATAGCATCATGGTCTATGTCATCTGACTCTTTCTTTTCTTGTTCTGAAAAAAATTAACACAGGAACATCAAAAATTTCAGTGCAAAGAATTAGACCCTGCATATTAAAATAAGCAGTGCAGAATAATTATCCAGGTGGATGTAAAACTCAAAAGTATGTTAATTTTTTTCTTTCTCTGATGTTGATGCTCTCAACTCTAACTTTTGAAACCTTGGCATTGAAAACAGTACTTACTCTCACCCAAGGATTCATCCCATATCTTATCATGCAGTTTGGTTATCTGGATGACAATAGTCCTGAAAATAACTTCTGTCTTAGATAACCACTGGTACCTTGACAACCAAACCAGAAGTCATAGACAGAGTCAAGAAGATGAGTTGTTTGTCAGTTGAGCACTTTTAGCCTGGTTCATGAAAACTGATTGGCCAGTTTGCCTTTGCGATATTGCTTGACATGTCACTCCAGTAGCCTGCATCAATTGTGACTGGTCAATTTTAATCCTTCGGATAGGTGACCATGCATTGTTCTGCTAAGTTTATTAAAAAAAGGCCCTTTGAGTTTCATTGGAGACTGGCTGCTCATCTCAGTACAAGCAATTAAAACAATTTTAAGAATGGTTTCAACAACAAAGCAAATTTACCACAGAATTTGAAAGCAACTGAGCAATTATACTAATAAACTTATCTGCCTCAGGCTTAGTGAGTATTGTTTAATAATCCCCTAAGCATTATTCAACAATATTCACTTTGCCTTCCAGGAATAATTGTTAAATATACAGAAGAAAATACTGTACAAAAAGATCTGCAGGTTAAAATGCAGTGAAACGCAAAGTTAAGTTCAGGATTCTTGTATCAAAGACTTAAGCTGTAGCTGAATGTTTTATTGATTTATAATTAACCCTTTAAATCCCAAGATTTCATTAGTAATTCTCCTTACTGTCTGCCATACAATTTTGTGATGTTTGTTAGGAGAATTTTGAATTAGATCAACCAATAATCCCCTAATTGATATTTTTCTTTATTCTCATTACTTGTTTGCTTGATATAGTACTGATAGTGTAAGGAGAAATTCTGTCTAGGTCGTTATTGGGACTTAAGGGGTTAAGCTGAAATTCTTGATGGGTAATTACTTATAACTAGAGCAATCACCTTCTTTTTCTAATTGTGCAAGGTACTGCTTTGCAAGGCGAAGTCGTTTTTCTTGTGCTGTCTCATGATCACTACTCTCTTCTTCTCCAGGTATGTCTTCCTCTTTGTCACTAAAAGAAAGATTGAAATTAATTCATAATAGAGAAATGTGATCATCTAACCAAACCAATTTAAAATTTTAAGCCATTTGAAAATTGTCCAGCCCAAAACAAGAAGTTAAATTCATATAGAACAAAAAATGGCTCCTCCGCAGCTAAAAATTTAAGGGGTTGATAAAATCTACAATCTAGGGAATAATTATAAGCTTTCCTCGACCTGTTACAAACTGACATCAGTATGCTTATTCTCCATACTGTTCTCTATACATTTCCTCAGGGGCTGACAAGAAGAATTTGTATAACGATCAAGAGCTTCTTTAATACGTTAGTGATCATTTTTTTTTTATTCTCTCGACCTTAATGTGTGATTCAGGGGTAATAATGTAAAAAAATTTAGAAGATAATCACTCTAAGGGGTTAAAAGGTTAAGCCTTTTCATGTTCTTACGATAATATAAATCCATGATCAATCGTTCGAACACAGCTGCACGATTTCTCAGTACCTGTCTAGTAAATAACTCACTCGATAGCGTTTTCAGAATGATCATACCTTGGAACATCTGAATCGCTCCCGAATTCATCTTCATCTATATGTTCCGCTTTTGATAGAGACTGTTTACCCCTTTGCTTCTTATTTCTGAACCCAGAAATCTGTGAAATACAGTAAAATGTTTGTGAACGATAGAAACCACGTGAGTATTATGTTTAACCACTGAAACTCAATCGAAAGATCAGATTCACTCCAAAATGCGACCAAAGCCAAAAAATTATTTCAAAATTGACTCTTTTACCATAAATTTCCTTACCTGAGACGATTTAGCTTGTCTTTTCCTAGGTTTTGATGCAGAACCTTTGCTATCAGACAAGAAAAACCCCGACATCTTGTTTTTACGGCTGCGACTGGACTGGGTTCGAGTATAGAGTATAGATTCTCTAATTGGTCAGTTTTCTTGGACCAGTTCACAAGGTACTTTCTACATATCATGCACACCACCTTTTGGTGCTTCAGCCACTGCTTTTAGACATTAGGGAACTAGCCGAAGTTATCGGCGAACTGATCTCAGTATCTAGTAAACCAACCTGGGTTGTTAACGAAACAACATACTACGTGAGGAAACCTGCCTAGGACGTTAGGGAAGCAATAAAAGAGGTTTGGGAACTTGCCTAAGGCGTTAGCCAACATAAGACGTGGGCAAACGAACCCTAAGCCTCACTGAGCCGAACTAAGTCGAAAGCGACTAGGCGGTAGCGAATCAACATGAGACGTCAACGAGCCAAACTGAGACATGAACGAGGTAACATACGACGTAGAAAACTAACCCACCAGAAAGAGCGAAACTGGGGCTCAGTGTAAACCGTTTCGCCCAATAGCTATCATACAAACACTATCTTTAACTGACAGTCAACAAAATTTCTTGCGGGGTAAGATGTCGAAAAATTCAGCGGTGTAGCTCGAAATGTGGCAAGCAGCATACAGGAAAATAACATACAGTCTTAAAGAATATAGTCGTTTTGTGTGGTTAGTCGGTGAGTAGCTTTTCTAGAAAAAGGGGGCCAGGACAACAAATAATTTGCGGCTCTTTTTCTCTGATAAGGGTTGGAGGGTCTCCCTTCACGCGCTAACGCCCTGACATCAGTATGGCGTACTGACACGGAATATTCGTTTAACAGTCGCAAGTTTTTTAAGCTGGTGATAATTTCCTTTATTCTCAAAACCTCAATATTTGATTCACGAGTTGTAATGTAAGAAAAAATTAGACAGCTTGTCACTTTTAGGGGTTAAAGGATTGTAAGAACCCCTCGGCTAGATTTCATGTTTATGCTGAAACTTTTTTACGCGGCTGCGTCAGAAGAGCCCTCTAGAATAAAAGAAGACTAGAGAGACATTCCAAACGAACAATTTCCTTTTGAATACACTTAATGTCTTTTTTATTCAAATAAGGTAAAATCTGTTGTGGTAAGATTACGGCTTTTTTAGAACGCTTTCCCTAACAATTTAAACGACCCCAGAGGTAAAAACCTAAGTACGATAAGGAGAAATTCAAGCAGTATATATTTTCGTTATTTTCACTTAAACTGATTCCCTCAAACATTGGTGACGTTGTATGCAGTTGTGATATCAATTCAGAAACTACCATAGCCTTGCACTTATTTCTTACCAAAAAGATGACTGAGTGTGACAAGTAATGGCAATGTTTAAAAACGATCAGCATTGCATTCATTCAACTTTTGCCTAAACAAACATAATTTCACCAAAGCTAGAGATGTCATTAACAAGGTCAAAACTAAATGTCTAAAAACTTACGCAATTTATTTTAACTCCAGTGAGTTACTGTCTTTTCTTAAAAGGCGCTAGCCTTCAATTTGACTTTTAAGTGATTTGGTCGCAGCGACACTATATGGTAAAACCAAACCAACAGCAACATTGAAATATTACGAAAAAAAAGGGACATATTGTTTCTAGATTCTACGTAGTGACAAGTTTTCTGGTATTCTGAAATATGCTTGCATATCATAAGTTTACTCAACGAGCATCTAGTGCAGAGAAAGAAAATTTTGGTTTAGGAGTTGAAAAAAGTATCATAGGGGCTCTGAAAACTATGATGGAATGCCGAAGAAGCAAATGTCATCAAGAACACGCAAAAAACGTTTTGTGAATGACATTGAAGAGAAGGAATATTCACTTTTGACGAACGAAGAACATAGAATTCTAACGCTAGACAATATATGGTAAGCAACTTTTGTCAAATGAAGACATACATACACACAGAACGATTTAAAAGGACACTTATCATTAGTCTCGGTGAATTATTCGGCCAGACGAATCAATCGAAAAACTGAAAAGGCGCCACTTCAGATTTCTATTGTTTATACCCTTTCCCTCTCAATATTTCAGGTTTGAATTCTCCTAACTGTTTCTCCTAAATCTTCTTAATGTAAGCTCTGTGAATTTGGTTTTGAATCAAACTATATCCCGAGAATGATGCTTACATTTTTTTCTCAGAAATTGTCGTTGGGAATATTGTTGGGAGAAATTACTTTTTAGTCACTCATGGAAGTGAAAGGGTGAATTTTGACATGGAAAATAATTTGGCATTGACTAAACTGTGACTATAAGGATTAAATAGCCGGACAGTTCCGATTAATGAGTTCGTCTGGCCGACCGATACTGGCCAATGGTAAGCGCCCTTGAAGTTAACCCGACCCTTAGACACTGAATGTGATTTGCGATCGATGACTTTCTTCAGCAAGGGGCGTCTGTGGGTTCCACTAGGATTTCGTTTACAGAGCAGTGAGCGGGTTGTGTGACGGCATAGATAACAGCATTCGCGACATCGCAAGGGTCAAGTCTTTTTACATCGTCGCTAACTTCGTATTTTTCCCGAGCCTGTGAGAGAAATAAGAGAAGTAAAGTTAAAATTCCTCGTTACTGCTCCATCTCTTTGTAAATCGGATTAAAATAAATTTTGTCAAAGAGGAAAGAAGAAAGGTCACTCGAGATGAAGAAAACCATCCCTTAATGCGTTTGAAGTATGCGAGGCAAGGAGTAAAAAATCATTTTAATTTTTACAAACGTCGAATTCCGACAAGAACCTCCACATGCAGTAGTCGTTCACAGCTGGCCTGTATTTTTCACTACGGGTTTTATTAAACATTTGAGAAAACCAAACAACTAAACTTGTAAAGAGAGGATTTACTATTTGGTTATAGGAGTTTATTTAGCTGTGGCAAAGTATTCACATGTAGCGTGGGATCGATAAATTAATGTCAGTACCTGAGCAACTGAGCACCTACCCCTCCCTTAATCTAACAACAGTCAAATGATAACAAGTTAGGATTAATGTTGGATTATAGGAGGGGTGGATGTTTCAATTCGTGTTCTTTCGATTTTAGAAGACCTTTCCTTTTCAGTCTTTTTTGGGCGAGTTCCATAACCTACAATAGAATTCGTTCTCAAAATCATACTGACAAAAAAAAAATCACCCAGTCAAGGTGTTTCCTGCTTTGTTCCTTTCAAAAAGATAATTTCAGACATTTTTCATGTCTTTCTGCGAATGATAATCATTAGAAAACTCGATGTCTGAGCATGTTTTAGATTAGTGACCCGACCACATGTCCCTGGGTCAATATCAAAATAAGAACAAACCTCCTCATCTGAGCTTTGGAAACCAAACTCGGTGGCTACATCACCTGCAAGAGAATGACGAATGTCAAATAAAGTGCTCCCGATTGAGAGTCTTAAAACCAAAACCAGAATAATTTAAACGGCCACTCAAAGGTAAATATTGGAAGTGGCCAACGAGAACTGAGAGCAAATGCAAGCAAACGGCTCAAGCGCGTGAAAACACGAGTGACCAAGTCATGAGTGGTTTTAGGTTTGAACTAATTTGATTGATTGATGGGGTGGCGTGAGGTTTGTGGACCAATTACAGAGCAAAGTTTAAGGCAACACTGATGGGGTCTGCGCTCTTTGAGTCGTTTAGGAACACACGCATCTCCCTCAACCGATCAGATTCTAGGCTCAAAAAAATAAATCATGACTTGATCGTTTGCGCTTTCCTACTCTCCAGGTTGTTTGCTTGTTTCACTTTGAGTTTTTATCGCTCTCTCGTGATGCTCCCCTGTTCTGACTAACTGTTGTTTGATACTTCCATTTCGTTCTACTAAGTTGAGAATTTCTCCAAGAGAAGCGAACCGCTGAGACTGTCAAAGCTCTTCACTGTTGTGATCATACCTGGTTGAATGGACGTGACCTTCACTCCACTCCCGACCGTCTCCAGCCTTAAGCTCTGAGTCAAAGCTTCAACAAAGAACTTCGTGGCAGCGTACACTGCTAATCCAGGAAAAGCCTGAAAATGAGGATGTTGATCAGTTATTATAAACGACAGGCTAGGCCAGCACCATGCCGAAGAAATTTAAAACGGCGTTTTCACTCACTAGATACACTGAGACGGTCAAAAACTCACATCAAGCTTGGGTTAACTCTTCATGTTTGGACCAAACTGGCTCTTCACACCATAAATACATGTACTCACCTTTCGGCCGGCGTTTGATGAGATGTTAACGATGTGCCCCCGCTTTCTTTCCAGCATTCCTGGAAGAACAGCACCGATGCAGTTCATCACACCCTGATGACGAGAATTATGCCAAACCAAGTAAATCATCTCAAGAAATTATTATCTTCATTTGATTTTAAATATGATATTCCAAAGTAGTAGGCTACCGAGTCAATAGCTGAGACACTGAGCCAAAGGTTAGACGTTCCGTTAAGCTGCTCTCCGCTACATTTCGTTATGTTACGTCGCATTGTGTTGGGTTACGTACGTTAAGTTACGTTGCCTTGTGTTACGTTACGTACGTTACGTTACGTTGTTGTTACGAACTTCCCCCAAAGTTGACGTGAAAGGTATTTACATCAACCAATTATGGAATATATATCAAATATTCTTTCCTTCATGTATAATTTGGATCAATCACCTATACAAACAAAAAAGAACTAGCACAAAAATTTGCCTCGCCCCCAACGGTAACTTTGCAGCTCAGTTAGTGATCGTGACCGACCCAATGGGCATCTGGTAGGCGAAGTTTCATTCCCCGTTAAAACCTGAATTGTTTGCTCAGCCTTTACCTTATTAAATTTTTCTTAACTGAATTTTTTACCTGTGAGGACGTATTGTAACTAGGCACAAGTTTAGTACCAAATGAATTTGATAATTGACTCAAGACCATGAAACACCCTTACCTTGCAGTTGACATCAACCATTTTCTCCCACTCTTCAAGATTACAATTCTTCATTGTGGTGTAGAATCCAAGACCAGCACAGTTTATTAAGATGTCCACAGGTCCTAGTGTGTCTTTTGTATGCGACACTAGGTCAACGACCTGGACACAAGTAAAACAAAC